CTCGATTCTCCAACTAGCTCCTCATCCCTCAATGAGATTCCCATCCCTGTTTCAAACTAGGTACATGGCAATCTAAGTTCTGCATAGCTTTCTGAGAAATGTGGTTCCCAAAGAGAATATGGCAGTGGGCATGCCCTCTTTGACTATATATATGAAAAGTGTATGAAAACAAAGTATACATCCTGTAGGATCAGAGAAGGGAGACCAATATAACCTTGAATTGTCAGAAAAGACTTTACAGAGAAGGTGGGACTTGAGCTTTACCTAGGAGGCCTTGGACAGAAGGAAGCTTGGTATTGTAGAAAAACCAATGGACCTGGAGTCAGAAGTTGATGTTTTGGTCATGTCTGACTCTCCATGACCCCATTTGGGGTTTTCTTGGCAAAGATATTGGAGTGGTTTGCCACTTCTTTCTCCAGCTCATTTTGTAGATGAGGAAACTGAGGCAAGCAGGGTTAAGTGACTTGTCCAGGATCACACAGCTAGTTAAGTGTCTGAAGACAGATTTGAACTCAAGATGAGTCTTCCTGACACCAGGCCCAGCACTCTACTGCAATATGCCACCAATCGCCACCTACCTGTGCCATAACTGTCCTTTACCATACATGCTTGACAAGTGGTAATCTAGCTTCTGCTTGAAGATCTTGAGTAATGAGTAACTCACTAGCCTGTCCATTTTTGGACAGCTGATTGTTAAGAAATTTCTCCTCACCCTGCTATACCAAAGGGTTCCTTGTAATTTCTGCTCATCAAACAATTCTGACTTTGAGTCAGAAAAATCTGAGTTTGTAGCCTACCTCTGACACTGACTCTGGGCAAGTCACTTAATCTCTTTCTCAGTCTCAGTTTCCTCATCTGTAGAACGAGGATAATAATAGTACCTACTTCAAGAAGAGTTCTCGTGAAGGTCAAAAGAGATAACCACGTAAAGTGATTTGCAAGCTCTTTTTGGGGTGGCCAAGAATTGGAAATTGAAGGGATGCCCATCGATTGGGGAATGCCTGAACAGGTTGTGGTATATGAATGGAATGGAATACTATTGTGCTGTAAGAAATGAGGAGCAAGCAGACTTCAGAAAAACCTGGAAAGACTTACGTGAACTGGTGCTGAATGAAGTGAGCAGAACCAGGAGAACGTTGTACCTGGCACCAGCAACATTGTGGAATGATTAACTTTGATGGACTTAGCTCTTCTCAGCAATACAATGATCTAAGACAATTCTGAAAGACTCATGATAGAAACTATCCGCCTCCAGAGAAAGAACTATGGAGTCTAACTAATACTCAGCTGTCCTAACAATAGTTGGTGGCACATTCCAGTAGAGAGCTGGGCCTGGTGTCAGAAAGACTCATCACCCTGAGTTCATATCTGGCTACAGACGCTTGCTGGCTGTGTAAGCTTATCATGTAACTCTGTTTGCCTCAGTTTCCTCATCTATAAAATGATCTGGAGAAGGTAATGCAGATTGAAGCATACTATTTTCACTTTTTTTGGTGTTGTTTTTGTTTTTTTCTTTCTTGTGGTTATTCCCTTTTGTTCTGATTCTTCTTTCACAACATGACTAATATGGAACATGAATGCACATGTATAACCTATATCAGATTGCTTAATGTCTAGGGGAAGGGGAGAGAAAGGAGGAAGGGAGAAAATTTTCAAACTCAAAATTTTATAAAAATGAACATTGAAAACTAACTTTACATGTAATTGAGAAAAAAATAAAATACTATTAAGGAAAAAAAATTAAGTGGTTTGCAAACCTTAAAGCAATGCGTAAATGACAGCTATTATTATTATTGCTTATATAAACAATTGTACCTATTTATTTCTATTAGAGGGCATGAAAAACTATATAGTAAGATACTCCACCAGTTGTGACGCAAGATTACCCAAGGCTGCAGCTTAGGGCATCTGCAGAAATTCTGAAATTTTGAAAGTTACTGTTTCTCTTCTGGAAGCATACTAAAAAGCAGAGACCATCTTGCCAACAAAGGTCCATACAGTCAAAGCTATGGTTTTTCCAGTAGCAAGGTATGGCTGCGAGAGTTGGGCTATGAGGAAAGCTGAGCACTACAGAATAGATGCTTTTGAGTTGTGGTGCTGAAGAAGACTTTTGAGAGTCCCTTGGACAGTAAGGAGATCAAATCCGTCAATATTTAAAGAAATTAATTCAGACTATTCACTGGAAGGTCAAACTCTGAAACTGAAACTTAAATATTTCGGCCACATGTTGAGAAGACAGGACTCATTGGAAAAGAACCTGATGTCAGGAAAGATTGAAAGCAAAAAGGACAAGGGGATGGCAGAGGATGAGATGGATAGATAGTGTCAGGGAAATAACAAACATGAACTTGGGCAGGCTTCGAGAGATGGTGGAGGACAGAAGGGCCTGGCCTGTGATGGTCCATGGAATCAGGAAAAGTCAGACAGGACGGAAACAACTTTCCCTTCTCCCAGCAGGGGTCAGAATTGCCACTGCAACATTCAATGTTAAGGGCCCTTAATGAATTAGCTAATGATGAGGGCAGGGACAAATTTTGGGGCCTCAGATTTTGATAAGAACTGCCCACAGACTCAGACTTGCAGGAGGAAAAGGAGTTGGTTAGGGGAAGACTAGGCCTATGAGGAAGTATTTATTAGGGTCAGACTCAAGAGTAATCTTCTTTCTTCTACAGAAAGCACCTTCAGTCTCATAGAAAAGACTTGTAGATTGCAGAAAGCAGCCCCCACCTTCTGCCCCCAACAGGTTCCCTAGCCCTCGGGAAAACTCTCCCTTCTAGCCTGGCCTTAGCTAAGCAAAAATAGTAAACAGCTATGAACAAAAAGTGAAAAGTCACAGGGAGACACGATAAGGCTGAGCATATCTAGATAGGTCCAGATGCCCCAGAGGAATGTGGCTATATGCCCTTGGATTGCCACTAGGGAGAATTCTTCCGAAACTGGAATATAGTGAACACTAGCCCTTTCTTCATACCTGTGTCTAGAGTACTACCATGAGCTTACAATGGAGAGGCCCATTGTAAGTACGGTGTGATGGAATCCTCCCAGCGCTGGACATTTACACTGGATATATCCTCACTCTCCCACATACTCCCTTAATCTTTCTAGACCTCAGTCTCCTCTTATCTGGTCATTGAGAAGGTTGTACTTATAGCATCCTTTCCAGCTCTGCATCCTATGTTCCTAGGATGCTGGATCAGCAACTACCTGGAGGAGGCAGGTCAAAAGCTATCATGGGTACCAGTGGGAAATGCTCAGGGACGCCCTGGCATCCTGACTAAAACAGAAGTCCAGTTATTTGTGCAAGACATAAGCATCAAAACTGGTTTTAAGAAAGGGCATCAGGGAATATTGGAGGCAGCCTAGAGTACTGGAAAGGACTTAGACTTGGCATTGAGATCAGTCACTCATGCTGCATGACCTCAAGTAAGTGACTTCAAGTCTCTGGGCCTCAGTTTCCTCATCTGTAAATGAAGGGGTTGGATTAGATGAGTCACCTTCAAAAGTGTAAGATTTGTTAGAAATAAGAACACATGTATGTACCCAGAAAAATTAGGGAACTATGAGATCTCTTAAGTAATCAGAACCTGATCATTATTTAAACCAATATTTGCATTTCCCTACCAGTTTCTGGGTCTCATTTCAAGGCAGCTATGGAAATAAGATGTCCTTTGTCACCTCTGTTAGCGCAGTGGCAGAGAAGGATTGTAAATGCGGCAGTGTGCCTGATTGGGGAAGAGGTCTGGCATTTCAACGTCCAGCCTCTGTTACAAAGCATCACCATGTACTAGGACAACCAGTCAGGTTAGAGCAGGGATCAGGTGGGGACCATTCGCAGAACCACTATGCTAATGAGCACAGGCTACAGAAATGGAGTAGTCAGCCAGCTAGCTGCACAGCATTTCCTCCCTCGGAGAGTATTCTGGAATATGGCCGGATGCCTACCGAAGATTTTTATAGCACTTTGCATCTGCAAATTGCTTTATCTTCATTGCTTCATGTAGTTCATCGTCACCAGAGTCCTTACTCCTAACCTCAGAGATTTGTTAAGATCATAGCTGTTTCTACGGAGGTAGAAACAGAAGGCCTAGACAGGGGGACTTGACCTTGTTTCACACAAATCACATCACTTTGCAGCTTGCTTTATTCAGATCTTACCTCGGCAATCTCCATGGAGAATCTGTCAATTATAGAATTGAAAGTGAGAAGCCCCAAGAGATCATGGGAATATTCAGCCTCTTTATTTTACAGATGAGGAAGCTGAGATGGAGACAGATGTTAAAGGACTGGCCCACATCACTGGTGGTCGTAAGATTGCTTCCTTCCTTCAACCAAGATCCACTGAGCACCTGATATATACAAGGCACTGGGTTAGATTCTGTAAAGATGAGAAATCTTCCAACATCCAAAGAGATTCACAAATCAACAATAAATAATCAACAGGGTATCATAGTATCTTAAGACCATGGAGATCAAAAACCCTACTAAGTGGGTTAAATAAGGGAGCATTATTTCTATTGAAACTGAGACAGGGTGGTCCCACATTATATCAAGAGAACTGGAGCAGATACAACTTCCCACTCCCTATCTGATACTAAGCTAACATCCCCTCGGTGCAGACCCCTAGATAAGTCGCTTGAAATAGATTTATTTTATATAGCATTTATTTTACATGGTGCTTTAAGGTTTGCAAAAGATGTACACATTATTTCATTTTAATCCTCAGAGCAACTTGGTGAGGTAGGTGTGAATATTACCCCCATTTTACAGATGAGGAAACTTTGAGAAGCTAAGTAACTTGCCCAGGTCACACAGATAGCTACTATCTAAAGAGGGATATGAACTCAGGTCTCCCTGATTCCAAGTCCAGAGCTCTTACAGCCACCAAAATTGCTCTGAGTCTCAGTTTCCTCATCTGTAAAATGAGGATGATACATAACACTTGCACGACATTCCTCACCAAACTTTTGAGAGGAAGGCTCTTTGTGAATCTTACAGCTCAGTATAAATGTATTATTATTATGATTAGCAGCAGCACCACCACCAACGTGATCACCCTGTGTCAGATACTGCATGGTATGGAGTCTGAGTTAAAAGCCTAGGTGAATACTAAGAGTATCTGGTTAAGAAGGTGAAGTGCCCATCACTCCCTTCCACACAGCACTGAATGGCTACTGGCAGAGGGACAATGCCTGGCATATAGTAGGCATATAGTAGATAAGTGTTTGTGGATTATTTATTGGGGAAAGAATCAGTCGTTCCATCATCCCTTGCTTTGCTGGGTGCTGTAGGAGGCAGCGTGGGGGCACTGAAAGAAGCACAGATAGGTGATTTGGAATCATAAGATGTGAGTTTCGTTGAAGGTCTGACACCTATGTGATCTTAGGTAAGTCACTTCCTCCTGCTGGTCTCGGTTTCTTCATTTCTAAAATGAGAGGTTTCACCTAGAATCTAGTCCGCGTAGCCATTAGATGACCTCTAAGGGACCTTCCAGCTCTAAAGCCCAAGAGCTCTTCCCCTCCTCCACGCACTGGCCTCAGGGGCGGGGAGGGCTGGAAAGCAGCCTGGGTCAAAGCTGACACCCCCGAAAATGTGCAAGTGCCCGGGTCCCAGCGGGGTGTCTCCCGCTCGGCCGCCGGGGTAAAGGGCGGGCGACCAAAGAGAGTGATCCCACTCCTACCCCTCCCTCCCCTCCGTCCTATTGTTCCAAATAAGGGCAAAGCGGAAGCGGGCGGGCTGACGAGCGGGCAGACGTCACGGCGCCGGGTGGGGGCCGCGCTGCGGGGAGGATGACGGGCGACTCTGACGGCGCCTACGTGTCACCATGGAAACCAAACAGTAAATAGAGGCCTTGCCCAGCCAGACTCCCCTGCTCCCGGCACCGCCCGAGGGGCTGGGCCTGGAGGGAGGACCGGAAGCTAGAAAGGGCAGCAGGGGAGGAACCTGAGGCCCTACCTACCCAGGTCTGGCAGGACTTGAGGTGGGGGATGGCCCTCTCCAGCTGAGGCCTCCCAGGTGCATAGCTGCCTGGGCCTTCAGCCTTCCACGTTCTGGGCAAGAGCATAAAAGTCAATGGCGTCTCTCCTTGGCTTCCTGCTAAGGTTCTCAAAGTCTTAAGCGCCCTCCTCTCCCCCGCCCCAAAACACAGATGCTACGGAATCCTCTGCCTCGCAGCCAGTCCAATACACATTTCCAAAGTAGGGCCTTCTTTTCCCCTAAATAAAATCCCCAAAGGCGACCTGAGGCTGGAGGTGCCGTCCTGTTATGCTCGCTATCCCTCCTCCCTTCCTCCTCCCCACACTTCACCTTTCAGGTCTACCTGCCCAATGCCCTGCTTGCTTGCCCTGATCCAATACGGTAGAAGCAATCCTGGATTTGGAGTCGAAAAGACTTAGAATTCTGCCTCTCCCGCCTCTGTGACCTAACTTTTCTAGTTGTAAGTTTCCCCACTTGTAAAAGGAGAGTGGACTTGCTTCTGGAGGCCTTCCATCCCTGTACCTCTGTGACCCTGTGATGCATGTCCGCTCCATGAGTTTGTAACCAGGCTGGTCAGTGGCGTCTCACCCCTGTCTCACTCTAGAGCAGGCATTTTCTTAACCTTTTTGTGCGTTATGTCGGGGGCCCCTTCAGCAGTCTGGTTAAGCCAATAAATCCCTTCTGGAATGATGGTTTTTTAAGTATATAAAATATGTAGGATTACAAAGGAAACCAGTATGTTGAAATTGTCCAAAAAAATTTTAAGAAAAGATCACAGACCCCAGGTTAAGACCTTCCCCTCTGGTGCTAGGTCCCTATGACTGCTGCACAGATAAGTCGTTCGATTTTGCACTCCCACCCCCCACCCCCAATATGTATCCCAGGCCCAGTTGGCTAAATGCTCCTTTTTTTTCCTAGTTGGTGGATGTGTCCTTTTATGTTAGTAATGAAGTTTTTACTATATTGACTACAAGACTAAAGATGGAGCATTGCCTCCTGTGATCGGACCATAAACGGCACCCCAAAAGCAAACAGGAAGGCAGCTGCAATCTGTGCCACTTACTCTGATTAGGAAGGTGTGTCCTTCAGACACTAAGCAATTTAACTTGGGGCCCCTGCATTTGGGCCCCACTTCTGACGTAAGAGAAAGGACAGTTGAGAAGTGGTTATCCAATGTCAAATTAGCCCTTTGTTGGTCACCTGGAACAACTGATTGAACCAGATCTAGGTGCCATGTCAGCATGAACTAAAAATAAAAAGAGCATATTAACTGAAAGGTCTAGAAACAGAACATCTGACCAGATGTCCATTTAGGCTAGGTAACCTCCCTGAGACAATGGCCAGATCCCTTTTTTCTCTGCATCTTCTTGGGAGTTATAATAATGCTTTTCAGGCTAAGGGAAAGCAGATCTGTTTATTCCATAGCTGGGGGGTGGAGGCCTTTGAAATTAATTGGATTCAACTGAAAGTTTATGTTCTGTTCATTTCTCAGATGAGAGAGACCTTTAAAAATTTTTGAAGATAAATAGTCAGCACCTTTCAGATTTCTTTGAACTGCAAACAGTGAGATTCAATACTCCTTTCACCTGATTTTCCTTAGGCCTATTCATGCAGTTGAAAATGTATGATTTACCAATCTCAACAAAGCTGTAGCTAAGATTTTTTTTTTCAGTGAAAACTTTTTTTTTTGGGGGGGGGTCGGTGAGGGAAGGACATGGTGCTTAGTTTTAGACCAGTGCTTAGTTTTATGACGAATCAAAAGAAGTCTGAAGGGTAATGGAAAGCTAGATTAATGGGTGGGGATAAGTAGATTGCCAATAACATATTTGAGAAGTGGTGAAAAAGGTATGATGACTGGGAGAGGCAGTGACCATTTATATCATGTGACACAATGGACACACAGTCTGGATTATTATATTAGTGCCCCTAAAAATATAAAACAATAACAAAAGAGGTAGAAGTATCGTACAGTGAGAAGGATGCCTCTGGCACCATGGGTGTGACCTTGGGCAAGACACAACTTCTATGGAGCCCAGTTTCCACATCAGTGAAATAAGGGAATTAGATGTCCCCTGGGATTCTTTATAGTTCTAGATCTATGATTCTATGGGGCCTCTAGCATGTTAAGTGTATCCTTTATGGTGGATTTATAGGAAGACAGGAATAAGAATCATACAATAAGAATGTGTGGAAGGGTCGTGGTCTATGTTACTGGATGAAATACCAATGATGCCACAGATTTGAGTGTTGAGGTACTGAAGTGAGAAACACTTAGAAACACTTAAAATGTATTGTTGTAATAGAAACTAAATCCAAGTTTTAGCAGCAATCAACAGGAATGTAGAGATATCTCTTTTGTTAATTTATTTTTTTCCCAGTTAACAAGCATTTATTTTCTCTTCCCCCCTCTAACCCTCCCTGTCCCCAACTGAAAAATAAGCAAAACAAAACCCTTATAACAAAGATATACAGCAAAACAAATTTCCACATTGAACATATACAAAAATATATGTCTCATTTCAAACCCTGAGTCCATCACCTCACTGTCAGGAGATAGGTAGCATCATTAGTCCTCTGGAATCATGGTTAGTCATTGATGAGTGTTCTTAAATTCCAGCCTGTATTTCCAGACTAATTACAAATTAATCCCCTTCACATCAAGCTAAACTAGCCTACTTACTATTCCTACTACACGACATTACATTTCCCATCTCTGAACCTTTGTTCAGAGCTGCTTTCCATGCCTGGAATGTCCTCTCTCCTCACCTATACCTCTTGGAACCCCTCATCTCAAAGTTCAGTTTAAGTGGCACCTCCTTTCAAAAGATATTTCCTGATTCCTCCAGTTTTCTTTTTTTCATTTATTCCTCCTTTCATTATGTATTTATTTTGGAGATGTCCTATATTTATTTATCTGTGAACATGCCATATCTTCCCAATAAGCTTTTTGAGGGCAAAGACTTTCACTTCTGTATATGAATTCCTTCTGTCTAGCACAGTACCTGCCACATAAGTACTTAATAAATGTTGGTTGATTTATTGATTAGTGCTTACATAAATAGCATACGGAACTTCTCATGGGGATTTCTAGACAAGTGAGATGATGCTCTGCCTATATCTTGCCCAGGAAAAATCAATACGGCACATCTATCAAATTCACCTTAAAGATCTAATGTATAATGTAATATAATTTACATATCTATGTAAGTTGTCATTTTAAGGAAAATTACACCCAGATGCCATTCTAACGTTGAGGTGACATGGTCTTCCATCCACTTGCTTAATTTTTTGGGCTTTTAGTTAGTCTGTGTTTAGGGGAAGTTGCACACACTACTGGGGGGTTGGGTTACAGTTTCATTTTGAGATGGTAGTGTTTTGTTTGAATTGAGAAACTTTGGTGTTCTCAAGTTTCTCCGTCTGTAAAATAAAGGAGTTAGGCTAAATGGCCCCTGACGTCCCCTCCAGCTGTAAGACCCTATGACCCAAGCCTTGGTTCAGGATAATCATCTGGATGTTTTTATTCAGTCTCAATTGCTTCTATATCTGTACTCCAATAAATAAAAGATAACATAATGGACTTAACTGAGCATTTTCTAATTTTCCTTTGGTTGGAAATGAATGAATGAAAGTTATTGTTAAATCTTAATGACTGCTTTTAGGACAATATCATTATCAAATGTTTCTTTTTTACTTCAATAAATGTTGTGAGTCAAGACAGTGAAATGAGGTTTCAGCATCTATCCAAACATAATCCATAATGAACTGTAAGTCCAAGGAGGCATAATTTTGCACTTCTTTGAGCACTTTCTCCATCTAAAATAATCTTGAAATATAACATAAGTGACACAGTTTACCACTGCTTATGAGGAAAGTCAAAGACCTAGGGAAAAGGGAGGGGGAAGAAGCACATCAGTGTTCTTAAGAAGCTGAGATAAAAAGTAAGATGTCTATGATTGCAGTCAAATGGGCACTTGGTTCGGTGGGTGGGTGTTGTCCTTCATGCTGGAAGAGAACCAAACGATATCACTATTTCAGGGGTCAAGGTACAGTGTATCGAACTGTGACTGATCAGACCCAGAAGGGCTAGGAAGGCCCTACGACAGGTAAGGCACAAACAGCCTATATGAACATTTGGGGTGAAGATGTCTCAAAATTTGTCCATCTCATGTTTCTGTTGATCTGTTGCAATTCTCCTTTGTTCATAGAGCACAGCACCTTCTCTGATGCCAGCATGCCATGATGGGTGGTCCTATGCCAGTGTCTCCCGTGTCTCACAATCAGTTCCAAAGTTCTTCAGAGAGACCTTGAGAGTATCCTTTTTTCTGACCTCCTAGTGAGTGCTTGCCTTGTGTGAGTTCTCCATAAAAGAGTCTTTTAGACAAACGTAAGATTGGCATGGGAACAACGTGGCCAGCCCATTACTAGCACTGTCTCCCCTTTACCAAATATGCAGTGGAGTGGAGTCCTCTTGATTCCAAGGTTGGTGCTCTACCTACTGCACCACCATGCCTTGTACCTTTTTCCATGCCTGGAATATGTTTTCCCTGACCTTCTCTACCCTTACCCCAGTTCTGCTTCCATATCCACCTTTTGAAATCCAAATATGCTTCAAGGCCCAGCTCAAAAGTACCTCCTCCATGAAGCCCTTCCATGACACCCACAGCTGGACTCAGTTTCTACCTCAAAACTCTTACAGTATTTTGTATTTCTCTTATAACTTGTCACATTCTATTCTATATTATACTTGCACATATTCATTTCCTCTGAAAGAGAGAGTGTGTTCCTTGAGAGCAGATAGTGACTTATTAACTTCATATTTTCCTCATAGGGTACCCAAGCAGTGCACATGATGGGCACATACTAAATATTTGTTGTATACTAAAGGATCTAAGGCAGCTACATGGTGCAGTGCATAGAATTCAATGCCTGGAGTCAAGAAGATACTTATTAGCTGTTTGCCTCCAACTGTAAAATGAGCTGGAGAAGGAAATGGCAAACCATTCCAGTATCTTTGCCAATTAACAACAACAACAAAGGGTCTAGAATTTTAGAGTTGAAAAAGGTTTTAAGAAATTATCTGGTCCAACCTCCTCCCTTTACAGAGGAAGGCAATGAGGCCCAGAGAGATGGTGGAATGAATATTGGATTTGGAGTAGGGAATCTGAGATCAAATTCTACTTTTGCTACGTGATCTTGAACAAGTCACTTGTCCAAGTCTAGACCTCAGTTTCTTTATCTGAAAAATGAGGGGGTTGGGCTCAAGGGGGGGGAACCCAAGCTAGATGATCTCTGAGGTCCCTTCCAGCTCTAAATTTATATGTTATTTAGCTATATAATACAAAGAAAACCCACCCAAAAAACCCTATATTTAATTAAACATGAGTGCCCTGAAAAAGCTAACACCAATTCCCTTGATTGCTAAGGCCTTTAATGTACAAGTAGAAGGGAAAGTAGAGTGAAAGATAGCATTTTCAGTGGAACTGTCATTTTAAATGAGCCCTCCTAGTTTTCCTGAGCATGAAGACCAGTAACAAAACAATGGTTTAAATATTTAAATAGCCAAAGAGCCAGGGAACTGAAGCTGAAGCTCTTGGAAAAGACGGAGAGAAAGCAATCCCTGACTCTCAAGGAAGAAGCCATTATTTTCATGCTTCCTTTATTTGTGGTTTGCATGTGTGAGATCAAGTACACAGTGTTTGATTAGCTTGCCACACTGATGATGGTGACAAAGGTCAAGTTCCTCCTTGAGATTACAGCCCTCCAGCGCTAAAGCTTATTCAAAGGCCTGCTGACTTGTTCCTTATTAGGCAGTTACATAAAACTTTGCACAACTGAAAGGCTTCAAATACTCCAGTCACTGTCTCAAGGTGACTCCTGGATTCTCAGGAAAACTCCAACTCTGGGAGGTGCTACCCACCCGGAAAAGCTTTGAATCCCAGCTTGGGGATGGGCTCTGGTGTCTGAGAACCAGCCTGGCTAATTCAAGGAGCTCATCCCCTTTTAGAGTTGAAAAAGATTTGAAGAAATTTATCTGGTCCAACCTCCTGCCTTTACGGAGGAAGGAAATGAGGCCCAGAGAGATGGTGGGAAGAATACTGGATTTGGAGTAGGGAATCTACTCCAAAGGTTGGCCTACAGGTAGTGAATGCTTTTTGGCTGCAGATGCTTCATGAATCTTCCTACCAAGGCGCCTAGGCGATACCTTACATAGAGCACAGGGCCTGGAGTCAGGAAGACTTGAGTTCAAATCTAGCCTCAGATATTTAAAAACTGTAAAAGCAGTTAGTGCAGTGACTGGCACATAAGTAGGAACTTGATAAATGCTTCTTTTCCTTCCTAACTCCTCTAGGAATTTCAGGCTGCATCGATTTTGAGAGTACTAGCACAGAAGAAATCATAGATCTTTTGATACATCTATTTATACTTGCTAAATGCCCAACCATGATTTTGTGTGTGTGTGATAAACTTTTGGATTTTCAGATGTTACTTTTCCATCTCTTTTAGTATAAAGTGAATGTCAACAATCTTTAATGGTTTGTAACCAACTTATAATAGTTGTAATAATGGTCCCAGAAAGTACTGCTTTCTTTCAAGAGTAGAGAAAGACTAAATGCTTACTATATGCCAAGACTGCTGCATCCTGGAAATATAATATAAAATAATAATAATAGCTAGCATTTAGATAACACTTTAAGGGTTAACTTCACAAATATTATCTCATTCACAAAAGCAAAGATAATACCTACCTTCAGGGCATTTACATTCTACTGGGGAAAACAGCATATATATGGGAATGGTGGCCAGGGAATTAAAATTTGGAAATTTACAGGGATGGTAAATGAGCCATAGGATAGAAAACTAATACTGCCTTTGCAGTAGCAATGGTGCTCTGGATATGATTATGATTCCAGAACTGAATGTGTTGGGGGCTGGGATATGCAGGGTATACATATGGATCCAAGGTAGCTGATGAGAAGATGGGCAGGAGGTAAAAAGTAAAGCATGACTACAGCTGAATGTATTGGTTGGTCCATGTGAGGCACTCATCCACAGACCCAACAGGAGTTGCAGACTTCAAAAGATTTAAGTATTCTAGGGAGGTCATGGTGCCTGGTTCCAGGTGATTAGGTGGGTGGCAAGAATAAGTATGACCAGGAAAAATAATTGAATTTTCTTGTACCTCAATTTTCTTCATCTTTTAAAGGGAAGATTAATGATATCTGCTTCTACCTTATCTTGTAGCTATGTGAGCATAAAAAACAAGAGTAGCTTGGGATGAAAGTAGTATAAATACTGTGTAAGATTTATTTTTGAGATTGCTAAGAGGAACCCTTTAAGACTGAAGTAGCATCTTGTGTATTTATACTGTTCAAAAAATTAGAAGCAGTATGAGAAGGTTGATAGGGTACCGTACTTAAGAGTTAGAAAGATTTGGGTTTGATGCTCACCTCAGACACAAGCTATGTGACCCCTAAGCATGACACTTAACTATTCTGGACCTCAGTTTTCTCACCTGTAAAATGGGAGTATTGTACTCATTGACCTCTGAAGTCCTGTCTAGCTCTAAATCTATGACTAGGTACAATTTGTGTGTGTGTGTGTGTGTGTGTGAGAGAGAGAGAGAAGAGAGAGAGAGAGAGAGAGAGAGAGAGAGAGAGAGAGAAAGGAAGGATATTCAAGGAAATGTATGATCAGAAAAGGAGACCTTCCAGTCATGTGGCTAGAGTAAACAATAAGAGTTAGCCAGTATTCCATTGGCACCCATGGAATGTAAAAAGGTCAAAAGGCAAACTTTTAACTATTAGGTGGGTCATCAAAATGGATAAGAGAGGACAGCATGGACAAGAGAGGCACAGGATGAGGGACACAGCATAGCACAAGAGGAGAAATACTAGGTTCAAGTCAGAAAACCTGGGATTGAATCCATGCTACTACTTATTATCTAACTTGTCTCCTTGGGCCTAAGTTTAAGTTTAGTGGGCCTCATTTTCCTTCTCTATTGAAAAAAAGAGAGAGTTGGACTAGATGATTGCTAAGGCCACTTTCAGCTCCAAATCTATGCTAAGACATAGACGGATTGAAATCTGCGTTGACATACCCATCACGGTGTGTTTACATGCTCATGGGACAGGAAAGTAGGAGAAAGAACCCATCCCAGCGATAACCATGGAGCAATAGCTTTTTTAAGTACATAGAAAACCTTTATGAATCTGTAAGTTCATATTTCTAAAAAAGTTAATCCTAAGAAGACATTAATATCTCAATAATGAATTTTTTTCTCTTTGATATTAGATGATATACTTTCCTTTGATTAGAAAACACTTCAAAGTTTCATCAGAGTCATAGAAAGAGAACTTCACATTTGTCGCATTCAACTTAAATGCTTTTATTGACAATGTCTTTGAACAATAAGCAAACAATGCTTAAAATTTCATTCAAATTCACTTTCCACATGTCAAAAGACCTCAAGGTAGAAAAAAATAAAATAAAAATATAAATATCTGATAATCCATCTTAATAAATAAATTAAAAACACAATAAAAACGTTTTCATGGAAAACTGTTAATGTCAGAACATTCAGACCACCTTAACAATGCATGATCAGTAACATTACGATGAACGTTGATGTAGAAGAAAACTACAGTACATGGATATAGCTATTTATTTCTATCTACTAGAAAATAAAGTCATATCTTTTCTTAGTTAACATTGGTCATTCTAATCATCAGAACACACTATTGCCAGGAACACAGTAGTTATTGTTAAAATCAGCTGCACTAGATACAATTTGGAAATATCCAGCACCGGGTTAATTCCAATAATGAACCCAATAGATTAGTTAATGCTATGAGAAGACTAAGGAGAAAGAGAAAGAGACACAGACCCAGGCCTGGCTCAACATGCTACTAGCTACCAGCTCTCAGATGTGTCACTGGGAACGATACACACTCCATGCGTTTTGCTACATCTCTGGAAGAGGTAAGGACTCAAGTCCACATGTGGGATCATCCATGTCCTTAAGGGCCCATGGCCTGGTTTGATTCACGCACAGATAGTTGCCTTCCCAGGGTCTACAGAAACCACTGAGGGGAAGACACGTTTCTCGTTTCTGTAATGTGATGCAAAAGCTCCAGCATGATGGTGGTGGTGGCAGCAGCAGAACCCACAGCTTGGGCTCTTGTCTATGCCTTCTACCCTCACCCTCACCCTCACCTCCTCTGCTCACAAAGCCAGCAGCGTAGGGGAGCTGAGTGAGTCAGAAGAGGGCTCATTGCTACTACTGCCCTTACGGTGAGCAGCCGCACAGCTGGGGAAGGAGTCAGCTTCTGGGTAGGTGAAGACGAAGGAAGACGTATAGGTGGTGCAGGTAGGCGTGCAGGTGACCACTGGGGTGCACAGTGGCTCTAGGTCAGCTGCTACTCCCATCCCCAGGGAGCTGCTATGCAGAGGTTCCCAGTCTGCTGCATAGAAGGAGCCAGCCAGGTCCATGTCAGGCACTGAACGTGCAGTAGATTCTAAACCACCAGGCCTGGAGGAAGCTGGGAAGAGGAAGTCATCAAAGGGCTCAGCCTTCAGCTCCAAACTGTTGATGTTCTTGACTGGCTCCACAGAGGATTTGGGTTCAGTCTCCTGCAAGAGGGGCAAGGAGAAGGCTTCCTCTGACTCTGGGGTTGCAGCCTCAGTCAGGCCAACAGTGAGGTCAAGGGAGGCAGCTGTTATTTCTTCTGGGAAGCCCAAATCATCAGGTATCTTGCAGGCAGGTCGATGGGCTGCCAGGATGAATTCCAGCTTTTCCTTCTCCTTTAGCAGGTTGGCTATCTCAGTTTGCAAAGCAGATTTTTCATCTTCTAGTTGGTCTGTCTCCTGTAAACAATGGGACAAAGGAAAACATGAGACTTGTACATGCTAGGCAAGATGGGCAACTTTTCTCTTCACTCCCCAAGATCCTTGAAGGAATGGCCCAAGCAGATACCTACCGCTTGGAGTGTGTCAGTCAGTTCTCTCCTTCTGTTACGGCATTTGGCTGCAGCCATCTTATTCCTTTCTCTCCTGATTCTTCTTTTCTCCTCTTCTTCTGGGGAAAGCTAGAAAAACAAAAAAAATACATTCAATGTTCAGTTCATTCTTACAGTAGCACCTCCATTCACCATCCCACCTGTTCCTGTGGCTCCACCCCCACCCCCACCCCCTCCTAATAGTCTCTTGGGTGAGGCCATTTCTAACCTGCAGTTGCAGACTGGGTGTGACTTGAATGTAAAATAAGATCCTTAACCAGAGAACAAAGAAAACTCCAGCTTCTGTTACATCAGAGTCCTAGAGTCCTTCCCTTTTGAATGCCTCATACTTATTAATTTAAAAGTGTGCAATCTATCCTAATCTGCCCATTACATTTCAAATTATGCTGGGCAGGGAAAGTGATAGTGGTGGTATGCCAACTAAGAGAGTGTCAATAGTCTCGGGAGCAGGTTTCTGTCTCAGAGTGAAGGCATTCAGAACTAGCCCAAGCTTCCTCAGTGTGCCTGACAAGTTTCCATCAGCAAATTCAACCCATTAACCCACTACTACCCTTCTCCACTTGTATGAAAGGGTTACACAGAAATATATTCACCTGTTCGACTTTGCCCCTTCTGCCAATGCTTTGCCCTCTGCCTCCTGTAGTCTTCACAATACCAGCCCTAGAGTAAACAGCAGCTGAAGGAGTAGAGACTCCGTAAGGATGGACTCTGGTCTGGGATGGGGCTACAGAAGAGATGAGGGTGGGCTGGACCAGCCACTGCAGGTCTGGGCTTGTCGATATAGCCGTCACAGTAGGTATAAAGTTGGCACTGGAAACAGCCAGATCTGTGCAGAAATCCTAAAACACGAAGAAAAAAAAAACTGACGTTAGTGGGACTCCAGGTTTCAGAAGTAGGTGAGGTGAGGTGAGGTGCATTTTCTGCTGCATGCAACAGCGACTGCAAAGAAAGAACTATCTCCTCCAGGAACAGTTGTTGTATTCTTCTTAAAATATTCTATTTCCATTTGAAAGGGTCTTTCCATTTCCCCTGAAGTGTTCTACAAACCACTCTCTTCTATCCCGACAGCCACAGTTCCCCGTTATCCCCTCAGCATCACTCACATGAAAGAAGGTTTGTTATAAATATCCCTGACGTCTGCACTGACGCAGGCGCCGCTCCGGAGTCTCCTCAATGAACTCGCTTTTTATCAATGAAACTGCTTTACACACCCTCCCGCTTGCACCCTCCGCCCCCCCCCCCGCTCCTTTGCTGCGGGGAGCAGTCTATCTAGGCAAAAGGAAAGCTGTTTTTCTGACGCCTTCCATCATCTAGGACGATGCTATCCTTTTTTCCGTGACACGTTTCCCCTTACGCTTATCAGACATAAGCAGCAAATAATGCGGAGAACATGCTGGGAGGACCGCTAGGAAGTAGAAAGCTACTTTCCCCTTGGAGAGTGGTTCTAAAAGACGAGACAAGTCTACTCTGTGGCCACGAAAGGGAAGCAGTATTTTCCTGTAAGTGTGCGCTCAAAACTCCTCATACAAGCCCGACTGTGAATATTCATGATACTGTCAGTTCCTAAGAATAGTAGCAGCCTGGTTGCCAGTCTGCATGATGGCAGCACCCCTTCCTCTTCCTCCCCCTACCTTACTCCAGTCCCCCCCAAACTCGATCAGAAGGAAACATCCCAGAGTTGTATGCCCCTCGCATCACGAAGTCTCTTACCTGTGAATTGACAGGAGAGCCCATGCTGGAGAAGGAGTCAGCCGGGGAGTGGTAATAAGAGAGGCTGTCCCCCGCCGGGGAAGCGCTGCTGCATCGGGAGGAGGATGCTTCGTATTCGGTGTTGAATCCTTGGTACATCATGTCGAGATTTGTAAAAACCCGGTTGAAGGGTTGTGGGGGGCGGGGACAGATCAGAGCAGTCGGCTTTGCTTTGTATGAGCGCGATCCCCGCTCAGCTGCTCAGTCCCGGTCGCTGTAGCTTGCTGCAGATGCGGTTGGAGTACGAGAGCAAAGCTGCTCCTTTTATAATGATTTAAGAGTCCCAGCATTTCATGAATGAGCTTACGTCATGGGCAGGATCCATTCCTAGAGAGGAGGGGTGACTCTTTACACTCCGGGCTGCTGCATTAGTATCTTAAGAACTTCCTTTCAGTTTTCTCCTCCTGTATTTTTTCAGATTATCTTTAAATTAAGCAGGATTTTTATAACGGATTTTTAAGAGGAAACAGGGACCCCCAAATGAAATCTCCTTGGAAAAAAATCTCCCCTAAACTCAAAATTCAGTGTTCCTAGGCCTGGAAACCTGCTGACGCAGATGTCCTAATATGGGAAACATCCTGTGTAAAGGAGGAGGGACTGACGGGAATTGCTAGGAGGCTGTAGCCAACTAGTTGAGGGGTAGGGTAGACCAGAGAGCTTTGGGGGGAGGGGAAGGAAGGGGGGAAGGGAAACAAAGTAATCAAACTTCATCGCCTTTCTTTCAACGGACTGATGGCCCTATAACCCCAAGTTATACCGAGTCTGGGAGACAGCCCAGGGACTTCTGGATGTTGACACAAGTGCAGAGCGTCGCATTTTAGAGCTCTGTCCCTTGACCCATACGCAAGCTTCGTCCTCAATTCTCAGTTCTTCCCCCAGTTTTGCTCAGGAGCTGGACTCAGGTTCTCTTGCTTTAAGCTACAGGGTGGTCACTAAATTTGCACAAGAATGCCAGAAAATACAAAAGCTTTTAAAAATGATAGACTGCTTTACCTACGGTGCTAGGATGAGGGGAGGGTTGTGAGGGAGAGTTTTTTCCTCTGACCCTAGCGGAATTACTGCGTTTTGTTTATTTTGTTAATAATTGAAGGGGGAGGGGAAAGAAATGAATAGATATTTGTCGTGCAAACCGCCACGTAAAGAGGAATTTGCCACCTTATAACTTTATCCAACTAGGCTCTGAGGAAAGAGGTATACAGGTAAGGGGGTGGGGGGATGGAGCTCAGCTCCGCGTGGGCAAGGCAAAGCCAGATACAAGAATGGGAAGCCCCCTCCCCTCCAAGAACAACAGCAACAACAAAAAGAGTTTATCTAGTTCACTTTATGAAATTGGGTTCACAAAATGAGCAGTCAATAGGTGCTTCCAGTTTGGGGATGGAGAGCGTGGGTGGAATAGGGACTCTAGGCTAAGGAAGACGTTTAGCTCAGTGGGCTGGTTATTTCAAATGGTCCGGAAAAATACAAGAAGCCCAGAAGTATCTCCGCAGTCCGGAAGACACGAAGTTTCTACTGCGAGAAAGTCGTCTGGGGCAAGCTGTCTGCTCGTGCCAAGACCCGTCTAAAATACAGAGTACGGACAGCATCTCTGCTCCAGAAGCAGCCCTAACAGCAACCCCTGATTTTTGCCTGGGAAACCGAGGCTTAGCTTGGCGACCTTTGAGCCACAAAACAGCGGCGTTCGCTGCGGTGAAAAGCAAAAGGGGGGGGGAAGGTGGCTAGAGGGGAGGGGTGCCTATGTACCCCCAGTTCTATATAGAAAACAACTGCAATGTTGTTGGTTACAACAAAATGTGAAAACGCCCCTAGACTGTTCTGGGGTGGTGAGGGATTGGGATATCACGCAGGTCCCCTGGCACGCGTTAGGTCATTGCCTGGATTGTTTAGGGCTGTGCCTGGAGTCTGACAGCCGATTTGCTTCCCAGTCAGTTTCACACAGAAGCCAAAAAGATCCCGGCTATAGATAGTAACAGGGAAGCTGCTGTTTACAGCAACAAACAGGAGCCTCCACAGTTCAAGTATCCAAGCGACCGCTGCAGGGAGCAGCAGCCCAGGCGCTAGGGAGAACGCAATGCCAGATCCCTTCTGGGAAGGATGATGGGATCTGTTGATGCTGTGGCTGCTTCCCGAGGTTTGAGATCATTTGCTAAGTTCAGTGACTGACGGGTTTTTTTTTTGGTCGGGTCTTTCTTTCTTTCTTTTTCTTTTTTTTTTTTTTTTGTTCCTGCGGCTGCTGCTGCTGCCGCCGCCGCCGCCGGAGCTGCTGTGCGGTAACCTCCATTCTTAGAGATCTGAACCAAAAGGGAGGGGAGGGGGACAAGAGAGAGAGAGAAAAGAGAGAGGAGGAGATTCGTGGAACTGGGCCATGTGCTATTTTTGTGATACTCTGTCAGAGCAAAGGTGAAAACAGAATTTCATCATTTTATGTCACTGTTTGGCTTATGTTGCTGAAGCTTTAAACACGGGAGTCGTCACTCTCCACCCCCTTGTTCCTTATTTAAAAAAAAAAAGCAACCTATTAGAACGGCTCTGAATCCTAAAAAGATCTTGCTTTCTTCTCTAATCCTATCTTCTCGACTTTTCTGCCAACTGCCCTTGGTCTGTTAAAAAGGTAAGTGTTATGAAAGCAGACATACCTATAATAAAAAAGCAGTACTCTTTCCCTTCATTCTTCACTCCCTTTCTTTATTAGATCTGGAAAAATTAGGTCAATGTTCCAAATTCCTTGAGTCTGACCTCCCTTTTGATTCCCAGCTTGGTTTTACAGCTAGTTAAGAGAAAATGTGTAATGTTTTCATTCAATTCCCCTTCAAGGCCTCTAGAATCAACACTGGTGAAGAATTGTGTCAAGATTTCCTCTCAAGAATTTATGTGTTCCCTTCCCCTTTTTCCATCATTTTTTAAAACAGATGGCAAAAAAAAGAGTCCTTAGATTATCTTATGTCTCTTCTCTCTAGCACTTCATCATATAATCATTAGAGCTGGGAGAGACCTGAAAAGGTCATCAAATCCATCCCCCTGCCTCCAAGTAGAAAAACCTCTAGCCAGAAGACTTTTGAGGATTTAAAAAAAAAATTATTGATATCTTTAGTTTTGAAATCAGCTTCATTTCCAAATATATCCTTTCCTACTCCCCTGTTCCTGAAAGCTACCCTCTTTAACAAAGAAAAAAGGAGAAATGCAGGAACTCTCAGCAGCTTTTCCTTCCATAGAGAGAATCTATCACTTTTCAGAATGTAGGCTGTAATGGATACTTCATCTCAAAAAAAAAAAATAGTTCTCACCATTGCCGCCAAGATTTTCTGGACACAAAATAGTCTCAGCTAAGTAGTATCCACAGACTTGCTTATCTATTTGTTTAATCTTGACTTCTCGTTACCAAGGGCAGGGTTTCCATCAGAAGTCTTGTCTGACTTGGGGTTAGAAATTCCTTGTTGTTCCCTGTCTGGTTGCCAAACTGTAGCTTGTCAACATTAGCATTAGAGGCTGACCTTCCATCAACCTGCCAAGGGCTTTCTGTTATGAAGGTCTCTTATGTTCTCAACTCCAAGATTCTTTTGGTCATCCATGCAAATGGAGAGGAGGAGGATAAAGACATTGGAACAAAACTGAACCCAGTGGACAAATGGTCCTCCCACCTAGCTACATTCCTGCTTTTAAACCTTTACACCTTAGTAGGACTTGCCAGAGATTGTTTTTTGTTGGAATAGCTTACAGTCACTTCCGTATTGTAACAGGGCATCAGAATAAGACTTTAGTGAAAGTTAAAGGAGGACTGTTTATTAAAAATTAAAATTCATTTTTATTATAGAGTCACATTTATGGATCATATGATGTGAATATAGTTTTACCCTGAAGCAGAGACTCTTCGAGGACAAGAATAAAGTATCTGGCACTTTCTTGGGGCACAATATACAATACATAAAAACATCTTGGCAGCATAATTTTAAAAAATAACAATGATACCTGAAATTTGCAAAGCACTTCCTTGAATTATCATATCTGATTCTCACAACAACACAATGAGATTGCTACAGGTATTATTGCCTACATTGGACAGATGAAGAAATTGAGGCAGAGAATGTTGAAGTGATCTGCCAGGGTGTCTCAGGATTTTACTTTTATTTTTGAGACCGGGTTTCATTATTTCTCTGAGGCTGGAATATACCAGCCTCTCACAGCCTGCTACCAATATTGCCCAGCTTGGAAGTTTTAACCTATTCTGTTTTTCTGATCTGAGCTGGTTCACCCACCCTTAGGTAGCCTGGTAGCCCTCTATTCCCAAGGGTTTAGTGCAGACTTAGTAAGGACACCTGATTGTCTTTAATCCTGTTGCAGCTCAGAACTCTCAAACTCAAGCAGGGTCTTCCAGATACCAAAATCCATACTCCATTCACTACATTATACCACTATGTTCCTTCAACACTTGGAGGTAGAATTCTTCATCTTTTTTTAAACTCAAATGGAAACCTTACTTGCTTTTACTCATTAGTCCTTTCCTAAATATATATTTCCCTGTTGTTTCTAAACCTCTGTGGCATTTGAATTAAAGTGAACACACAAAATCGAACTGTTGGTTCAAAAGGTTTTCTTGGGGGATGGGAAATGTTAAGTGAAGTCAGTAAGTATTTTTTAGCTTAGTGTTGCTACAGTAAGTGAAAGGCTGCTATCCTCACCTCCTACGTAAATGTCTCTGTGCACAGTCTGCACACAACATGCACGAGTATTTATTTATTTAGGGAAGTGTGGTCTGGTGGTAAAGTGCTGTGGTGTGAGCACGAGACCTGCAGTCAGAAAGCCTTCTGCAACTTTGGGAGAGTTACTTCTCATCAAGCCAAATGGCTTCTCATCCTCACATCCCCAGTTTGGGAATGGTAACACTGATGATGATCATGTCCAACTCTTCATGACCCCATTTGGGGTTTTCTTGGCAAAGATCCTGGAGTGGTTTGCCATTTTCTTCTCCAGCTCATTTTACAAATGAGGAAACTGAGGCAAACAGGATTCAGTGACTTGCCCAGGGACACATAGCTAGTAAATGTCTGAGGCTGGATTCCAATTCAGAAAGTGGAGTCTCCCTGACTCCAGGCCTGGCATTCTATGCACTGGCCAGAACAGTCCATGCCCACCGGGAGCTTACCCTCAAAAAATAAAACAATAAACAAACAATTATGTATAAACAATGTAGATATCGATCAATCAGCAAACATTTATTAATCTCCTACTATGTGCCAGCCACTGTGCTAAGTGAAGGGGA